TGCCTGTACGATGGGTTTGGCTGCTCCGCCATCCACCCACCTCGCCGGGTGTTAAGGCATCCTGCCCCAGCTGCTGATGTTGCCACGCCGTGTGCCTGCCCTTGGAGCACTCCAGCCACTGCAAAGGCACGAGAGGGCACAGGTGCCCAGGTTTCCCTGCCATGCACCAATACACACACGTTCCAGCAGCAGCAGCAGCGCAGATGTACACGCACTGCTGACCTGACCCAGGGCTGATATTGTGAGAAAAGTCACGTTTGTTGATTCTCCCTCCCCGACCTGGGTTTGAACCAGGGAACGTCAGCATGAGCTGCTACCACTTGAACTAAGGGAGCAATTCTGTTAGCTAGTAGCAGCAGTAGACTGTTATCTTCCATGTGGACCAGCCACTAGAGGGGGATGCAACACCTGTTGTCAGTATGTTACACAGACTGATCTAAAAGTGGAGTCTGACGACATAAACACACAAAGCCATGTCTTAAGCAGCGACTAGAACGCCCCTTAATCACTCCACAAAAAATACTAGCACTGGTAGCTGATTGTGGCCCCTTGCCAGAAGTAGATTATCATCCAGTGAGAGCAGGGCCGTCCCTGTGTCACACCCAGGGCTAAATGGGGACTGAGAAGGGTCAAGGGAAGCTGGGGACTCCAGATAAGGACAGAGCTGCTAAGCCACAACCATCTCAGGAGCCTCTGGCCTCAACTGTTCAGGTGCCCACATCAATTATGGCTGCCTCGGCTTCCCCCTTCCTCCCCCTTCCAGTTAAAAATGAACATTGCTCAGAATCTATTTAGCTACGCAGTCCCGTGAGGAGGCTTCCCACTTCTCTCAGTACTAACCGTATCCTGAGCAATCACACACCTCAGCCTTGTAGGGAAACTGGTCGGGAGAATGGGACCAAGCAGGAGACATTTCATATTTATATTTATTTATTTAGGGCCAGACTTTGCTGCCCTTTAGTTGAGTACTACCTTCCCATTTGAATGGTCCCTCTGAAATCAGTGGGGCTATTCACCCAGGGAAGGAACTGCTCCATGTGAGTTCGGGTATCAGAATCTGGCCCTTATCTATCTGTTTTCTGTTTTTCTTATAATAGGCAGAACGGGTAGCATCACCTCTAGTTAAGGTTGCCCACCACTTCCCACTACAAGACCTTGTTTTCGGTTGCTTATAACTTAGCCAAACTTTAACCGCTCAGGCTGCGATGTTTTCCTGCTGGGGCGGCAGCATCAGGCTGCATTATTTTGAAAAGTTTCAGCAAAAATCGTCCAGCTCTTTCTGAGATCATGATTAGGGAAAAATACATGCCCACGGTAAGGTCATTATTCTGACCATTTTACTGAGAAAAATCTAACTCCGCCATGCTTTGGAGCAGGGACTTGAAATTTGGCAAAGGGGTGGCCTTTGTGTCAGGGATGTATCTTTTGCTGTTTCCATGAAAAAACAAAAACCAACCCAAGTACATTTGGCCAAATAATGAGCCTCTGAAAAATCTGTTTGCACATGGCCAGTAGACACTCATTAGAGTTTGGAAACTAAAGTCTCTGAAGATTCCATCTGCACTGGGCATGCTCCAGCCCAGGACTGCAGGGGCTGACCAGGAATTTCCCTGCAATTGCTGCTCCTGGCTGCTGTGACTCCGGGCAAAGAAATGCAGAGCAGGGAGCCTGTCTCTCCTCTGCACTCACTGGTCCCCAGTTCCCCACCCCGCCAGGGCCCAGGCCTCATGGAGGAGGAAGCTGCCTGACTTAAATGCAGATAGGACAGGAGCCAAACTTGAGGTGTGGGAGAAACAATAGATTGGGACAAGGAGATTGGAGGACAAATGGGGAGCTGGTGATGGGGGGTGGGGAAGACTGGGAAAAGAGACTGGGAGCCAGAGGAATGGGGAACGGAGCTGGGGAGACTGGGAACCAGTGAGCATGTGGGGGAGAGAGTGAGATTGGATGTGGAGTCTGGGACTGGGAACAGAGTGGGGAAAAACTGAGATCAGATGACGAGTCCAGGTATGATGAGAGAATGGGATTGGCTGGATAAGAAGACTGAGATAAGGAGCCTGGCGGGAAGACTGCGACTTGAATGGGAACTCTGGGGGAAAAACTGGGACAGGCTGGAGGAATGGGCAAAAGGAAATGGCCTGCATGAGAACGGGAGCAGAAGGGTCTATGACCACTAGCAGACACTCCCCCTTCTCCAGAACCTGGAATGGAACCCAAGATTCCTGTGTCTCCACCACCCTCTGCTGTCAGAAAATAGCCGTGAAAGCCACTCACAAAGCATATACCTTATCCCCCTCTGGCGGCTGGTTCACACAGATGATGACAACCTACTACTGCCGTCGGCTATTTCATTAGCTCCCATGGCAGAGGTCTGTGCGGTGGGTCTAAATGTTCCAGCCCAGCTGACAACACACGCAGGCACCAGTGTGATGCCATGTGATGGAATTTTTGTTTTTTTCAGTGTGCTTCTACAAAAACCTAGGAAATTATGCACCAAAAACTACCTGAAAAGAACATTAAGGTTGTGAAGTCAAGTGCTCAAAGGATAGGAAATGAAACATTCTGAGACACAACCAGAACAAAGGGGCCAAATCGCTTGCTTGGGTGACTTAAGCCTTAGTTACATGCCCCGGCAGGATAAAGTGGAGAATCCGAGGAGTCTGGAGGCCAAGACCAAATGGCAGTGCTGGGGTTTGGGGTCGTGTCGGGTGACTTGAGAGCCGTCGCGCAGTGGGTGTTAGCAAGCAAGCAGCCTAAGCCCCTTCCAGCCCAACACCATCCTTATTAATTCATACGGCATTTTGTAGGAAGCTTGCTAATTGCTAGCACCGAGTAAGTCAGGAGGGGACGCTCAGCCCAGTGTGGCTGTAAGCTCCTGTGCAGAACGGCTTGTCAGAGTCTCTTTGCTTAAGTATTTACAACAATGTGTTTCCCCAAATGCTTCCTACTTTATTAAAGCTGAACACCCACTAATCACGTTATAAATAGGGAGGTGGCCATTGCCAAGGGCTCTCGCTGCTTTACTGGAGTCGGGCAGCCCTGCGTGCTGCCTCTCCTGCTTTTTCCTCACAGCCGAGATTCCCCGTCTCGGGATTTATTTAACAGGGTGTTAAAAGGGATACAGGTGCTCAGGGAATAGCCTGCAAGGGAGAGGGGTACATTGGGGCACATGGGACAGGCCTGGGGGGGGGTCTGGGCAGGAAGGTGGGGCACCAGGATGTGGGGGAGGATGTCGGAGGATTCTGCCTAAGTTCCATTATTCAGGATTGAGGCCCGTGTCCATGGCATGGGTTGCTGAGGGGAATATCTGGAATTAGGCCTGGTTTCAGAACAGCTCTGCCTTGCTGTCCCCCAGGGCTCCCCAGCTCCCTCTCTGAGGCCTCCAGCTCCCTCCTAGCTCCCTCAAGGCTGCAGAGTCCCTTTTGCCCTGTGGCACCTCCTTGGGTTACGCCCCAGGGAGCAAGGCCTGCCCTCTCACAGCGGGTTATGCTGCTGGGGAGCAGCTGCCACAGAGGGACAAGATGGAATGACGTGCCCACTCCACAGGGCCGGGGAGGGTCAGACTGCAGAGGGCATATGGCCAAAACCCTCGACCCCTCGGCTACCAGGCAGCCACACAAAAAGTAGAACTGTATCCGGCACCCGCAGCACCTGCTGTGCATATTCAGGGGGCTTGAACGCCTGTGACATGCCAGCTGCCCTGGGTCAGAGTCAGAGACCGAAGAGACCCACTTAGGAAGCATAATGATACCAGATCCTGATCAACATTCACAGAGAGTCTCCTTTAACGCTTAGCAGTCTACCCAGCGAAGGTGCGCAACCGGCCCCCTTTGCCATCATATCTGTGCCCCACACAGTCTGTAGTGTCTTTATCCTCCCAAGACCCCTGTCGGGTAGGGAGTGCCATGGTCCCTATTTCACAGCTGGGAAACTGAGGCAGGGACAGACTAAGTGACTTGCTCACGGTCACCCAGGAAGTCTGTGGCAGAGCAGGGAATTAAGCCCGTCTCCCCCAAGCCCCGGGCAAGCACTCTAACCGCTGTGCCAGCCTTCCTCCTGTGTGGGAGCCTAGGACACATGGTTGAGCAGGGCTGGTTCCGTCCAGCAGAGGTCAGGGGTGCACATGCCCACCCACCCGCCATCACAAAGCTGCGGCTCTCCAAAGAAACAAGGTGGACAGGGCTGTAGGCTGGCCTACTAACCCGCATGAGGTATTTTCACACTCCCCCAGGTTGCAGCCCTGCCTGTCCTGCTGACTCAGAGCATGTTCCGGGAACGGTGCACTCAGCGACGACGAAAGCCCAGGACAAAAGAGCGATAGCCACCCTTCCTCAGCAGCCAGGACAATGCAAAGCAGCTGGGCCCCCCTGGGAAATCTGGCCCCGTTGTTCTCCTGGTTACAGCTGTGCCCAGGGAATTGCACAGGGTTCTGGGGCTCTGCCGGCTGCTGTCGTGACTCGCACACTACCAGCGACTCCTTGCTCTCTCTAGAATGGAAACAGGTCCTGTTTATCTCAGCCACTGGTGATGGGGACTCAGCAGAGAGCGACTCTGGACATCACAGCAAGGGACAATGGGTGCATTCTGGTATGACTGGCCATGGATCACCCCTGGCACCCCCACGGGGGCGCTTTCAGAGGCTGCAGGCAGTGTGCTCAGAGGTAAGCAGTGGGGATACTCTGTGTCCCTGCACCGGCTCGTTATGGTCACCCCCTTCCATTCTCCAGCGCCACCCCTACAGCAGCCGACGAACCCAGAGTGCTCATAGCACAGGGCATGGCCGGGAGCCGTCCTCCTCAGCGCAGCGGGGTGCGGAGGAGAGGACACGAAAGGAGATGCGACACACAGCCCTTGACACAGACACTGCAGACTGAGCACCCAAATCGGACTGGGAGATAAGAGGCAGCGGGCTACGAGAGATACATAATAAGCAGGTTCCACGCTCTCGCAGAGACAGAATTCTTTGCGGGCTGCGGGGAGGGAGGCTGCGATTAACTTACCCAGCTCGCTGTGCCTCTGAGCATACACCATCACGACTGCGGCGAGCACCATGCAGCAGGCTGACGGGACAGGATTGGCCATCTGTGGAAGCAAATGAGAGGGATGGGTCAGGGTTTGTCCCTCGGGCGAGAGCACTCTGTACTCAGAGGAGAAACTCAACCTCCATGCGCCGGCATCTGGCTCGGGGGCGCTGGGTAGCTGGTGGCACTGTCTTGCTGAGGAGGAATGTCACTGAGGCCTGGTGGTCCTTAAATAGCCCGTGCAACTTTCCACTAGAGCTGGGGCGTGAGCTCTGGGCCCTGCCCTCTGTTACTTTGGAGTAACTCCTACGGACTTTGATGGGAACAGCACTGGTGTAGCTGAGAGCAGAACTGAGCACTTAGAAATATCCCTTACACATTCATATGGGCATGTTATTTTCCCCATCCCCTTCTAAGCTCCAACACTCCCCCCGCACACAACCCTGTTAAGCAGCTGCAGCACTCCACACCAGAGGTAGATGCCTCTGAATGGTGTGGCAGACAAACATCAGAACGGCCACACTGGCTCAGACCAAAGGTCCATCTAGCTCAGGATCCTGTCTGCCGACAGTGGCCAATGCCAGGTGCCCCAGAGGGAATGAACAGAACAGGGAATCATCAAGTGATCCGTCCCCTGTCGTCCAGTCCCAGCTTCTGGCAAACAGAGATTTAGGGATACCCAGAGTGTGGGGCCGGGTCCCTGATCTCATATCCACACATTACAATAGTACTCCCAGAGGACGTTTGGAATCAGGTCCTATTTATGAGCTAGAGAGCCAGCTCCAATGCCCTCCACTGCATCTCCCCATGGAGCCGCCCGTGCCCAGGGGCTGGATCTAAGACATGAAAGGAGATGACAGAACACTGCAGTAGCTGTTGGAGTCTCATTTGAAATGGCCTTAAGGCACCACGGACAGGGCACTGGCCTGAGACCCAGGACGCCTGGGTTCTATTCCTGCCTCTGAACTGCTGGGTGACCCCAGGTAAGTCACTTCCCCTCCTGCCCTTTGTTTGTCTGTTTAGATTGTAACCTCATTGGGGCATGGACTGTCGCTGGTGGTTGATGTGTACAGCCCGATGGGGCCACTAGGTTTTACAGTAATAGAAATAATAAATAGAATCAGTAACAATTGCACGCCTCCTCCACGTATCTTTAAGCCTGTGCTTCCCTCTGTAGTACGGTTATTATTATATTAACCACCAGACCTGTACTGGACATTGCACAGAAGATGGGGTGCCGGGTGTAAGCCAAGTGAGGCAATTATCCTGCTCAGCCAGGCTGGGGCCTGGTCTCTGTTAGGAGCCCTGGGTTAGTCCTGCATGTTAGGAAAGCCTCAGACGCACTGGAGAGGGGAAGAAGCAGGAAATGCCTGGGGAGTAGGAGCTGGGAGGAAAGGTGACAGCACTGGGCTATGTTCTGTCTGGGGAGCAGGGAGCGTGAGAACCGCCTGCAGATACAGTCAGGGTCTTTTCCTAGGGGAGAGGGACCAGTTACATGGAGTAGGTCCATGAGGAAGTCATGGACTAGAGGTTCAGCGGGGATGTTAGGGGAGCTGGAAAAAGAGTGAAAACGAGTCCGGTGGCTCGTCCAGACCCCGCCGACCATGTCAAGAAGCCGGCACATGCTTCGGCACAACTGGCGCGGCCTAAGTAGACATGTGCTAGGGAAGATGATGGGGGCACAGGTGGGTGTTCGTGTGTGGGTGAAAATGTCCCCCTCTACTCCAAAGAATCCCCTCCAGCATCATGCATGCTGCCTGACCCCCCCAGCATGTCCCTCTCCACAAATCAGAGTGGCGAGCCAGCAAGGAGGGTGCAATTCAAGCCGCACAGCTTGGCTGGAAGGTTTGCCTTGCCTGGGGCTGTGCTGGAAACAATGTGAGACAGAGCTCTGCAGCCAGCCACTGTCCCCATTCTGTGCGCTGAAATCCTACCAGGAGCTCGGGCGCCGTACTCCTCAACGCAGAGGGAACAGCCTGGTGTCTTGCTGAATCGAGAGGGCCGCTGCTGGGGACAATGGAAGGGCACCTCTCCAATCCCCCAGACCAAGGTTGCTGGCTGCCCAAGGTGGTGAAATAGGTTTGTTTGATGGTGCGGGTCAGAACTGGGTGTCGCGTCGCCTGGTTAGAATCCCCCCATTCAGCAGCTTGCCACCTTTGCAGGCTGGGGTGCTGGAATAATTTTTATACTGGGGGTGCTGCTGATGGAAACCGTATCTTTGGAATTTTGTTTTTTTACCACTTTTACCACTTCAAGCCCAGGGATGATTCAACCCCAGCACCGCTAGTTCCAGCACCACCAATTGCAGGGTAACGAGGGGGTGAAATGGGCATAGGGGAGTGGGGGAAAGGCAAAGGTTAAACAGAAAGAGTCAAGGGTTTAAGACACTGGTATCCCCTTCACAGCCACATTAGAGCTCCCTGCATCATCCCTTCTAATCCCCCAGTCCTCTGTGCAGAGAGGTAGGCACAGAAGGGCAGGGAGTGTGGGGAGGTGTCTCTGTGCCCCAACCGCAGCGTGCCAACTCCCACAGCTGGGCCAGGTGAGCCGAGTAGGTGCTATCCTTTTCAGGGCTGCGGAAAACACCCCTCAGAGCAAGAGCTGAGCTGGGAGCAATTGAGACTCAGCTGCAATTTGTGCCCGGACTGCCTCTGGAGGTAGCGCAGCGACGCACCACCTCCTCAGAGGGGCTTAGAGACCAGTCTCCACCTAGCCCTCCGCATCCATATGGCAGCCAGTGCAACGGGGCTCCTGGCCCAGAGAGTGGGAAGATGCAAACGCTGCATCAAGCGAAATGTGCATACAAACCACCAGGCAATCAGGGAGTCCGGTTTCATGGTTCACGCCGGGGTAGACGGCATGAAGAGGGAAAATAAATTGGCCTTTTAAAATTATTGCAGCCTCAGTAATCTCAGGTGCTAGGTCACTTATGCGTGGAAGGTTTCTCTTGTAACACGGAACATGCTTATAGGCTCTTTAGCCATATGGCGCCCATTTAACCTCCTAACAGGGTAGCAGTAATTGGCCCAAACAGCAAAACATATTCCACATAAAACACGCAAGCTATGGGAGCCCATCTGGATGCAGCCTGGCACATCACCACCCTTTACAACACCAAGTTCAAATAGAAGGATCAATGGAAAAGCCTGGGAAGGGGGAATCTTGGGGTGGGGGAGGGAGGTTGAAGTGCCATGAACAAGCACAGAGCTCACCCTCCTGGGGTTCACAAACCTTTCCCTCCTGTTTAAACTCACTTCCTGCTCCTGTCCCCTAAGCAGGGCTCACTGCTCTGCTGCACAGCCACCCTCCCTTCCTAGCAGGGATGGGAGAAGCCCCGAAGCAGGCTGCCACCAGGTGACACCCTACCCAGGCAGGGCACTCCAGTGGCTAGTGTACGGAGACCTTACCAAGTCCTGTCACAGACTTACCACTCTGCAGCATCTCCTCCTGGCCAAACCCAGCACTGCAGCCCCTCTGCCTCACCCTCCACCTGGACTGGGCTTTGGTGGCCTGGGCAGTTACTCGGCCCTCCGGCCTGGTCACACTGAGGCTCCCAGACCTTCCAGGGTAAGAGTGTCCCAGCTCAAAGGAAGAAAAACTCCACCCAGGCTCCAGTCCCTACAGATTCTTCTCCCCCTCCTGGGCTCTGGCCTTCCAGGGCTTACCACTGCCCCCCCGGTTTCATCCCCGGAGACTCTCCTCCTAGGCCTGCTGAAGGAGGCTCCTGCTCCCCAGCTGCCCTCTCCCTTCACGGGCAGTCCCAAGGCAAGACTCCTTCCTGCAAGCCCCTCTGTGGTTCCCTTCCCAGAGAGCAGAAACTTCCCACTGCCTTACCCCTGGGTCTCTCCTCCCTATTGCCCTGCAGTCCTTCCTTTATGCTTCTCCTGGGTCAAATCCTTAATTACCTGATCCCTTCCAGGTGCCACAGAATGAGCTAACTGGAAGGGGCAATCCACCTGGAGGAAGGGTGGCAGGGCAGGGCCCTGTATTTCTACACTGACTAACCCCAGGTGCTAGTTCTGGCTCATGCAGAAATGACAACAAACAGAGCCCTCAAAGGGTAGTTGGCAACCAGGAGACAGGCCCCCGGGCTTAGGGACGGGTGATGGTAAAGTCCGATGTTGCAAGATTCATTGGGCTTGAGTCTCTGTTAAATTAAGACTCTTTTTTGCAGCATAAAAGTGGCTCAAAGAGAAGTCCCCGAGAATCCCTTCTGCTCAGGGGCATTCCGCTCTGTGCCCCCAGCCCCTGGCATACGGGGTGGATCGAGGGCGTGGCCAGAGAGTGTATGGCGATTCTCTGCTTCCTGGGAGCAGGCGTAGAAGGGCGGAAGGTAGAGCATCCCTGAGGCTGCCGTCTCTCCCCGGTGCAGCCCTGGAACACATAACGCCCCCTCCCTGGCCCAGGTTCAAGCAGAGAGTATCTCAGAGTCAGGCCCCGGGTGCCAGCTGTGCCTACATTCTGACAGCACATGGCCGAGGCTTCCCACATGGTCTCCAAGGGACATTCAATAAAAAAAACCCCATTAATTGCATCAGCTTTCAGCTCAAAGTCAGTCACCATCGGCTCAGGGCCTGGTCTCCAGCACCTGCCATGACAGTCCATTGCAGGGCGGCTGCCAAGCAGCAGCAAACACGGGAACCCAGTGTGATCCAGCCACCCTCACAGTGCTAAAGATTTTATTGTGCAACGTGTAGCTAGGTGTCCTGTGGGGAGCTGCTACACTACGAGGGCCACGTGATTATACCAGAGGCTGGGTCATCAGCACGGGATTGTGAGCAGAATCATTGGAACTGTGGGCATCATTTGCAGGGGAGACTTTATTCCACTGATTTAGCCTCTCTCTCTGTTTGCCATTACTAGGGAGTGGGCTGTGACTGTCTTCCACTTACTCCTTATTCTCCCAACAGCCTTTGTGACTATTTCTTGTCCTGGAGACCTTTCAGGGGCTGGTTCTGACAATTACACGGTCTTCAAAATGCAAACGTTATTGGTTAGTTTTAAATGCACACAACTTAGGTCACATGTTTTGGGTTTTGTGCCCTAAATGATCTGGAAAAA